GCTTCGCAGGCGACTGGAGCGACGTGGAGGCTGATGTGAGCTTGGACACGGCTAGCAGTGTGGCCAGCACCGAGCACCAGCGTGTATACCGTATACAACGCTCTCGGGGAGGGTTCCAGGAGGAAAAACAACGTGATCTGAGTGAACTCCACACGCTGTATACGCGGCGTAGACTAGAGGAAAGCTTTCAGGGTCTCTCGAGTGTCCGCAGCAGCGCCAATTGGTTCCAACCGGCACCTTGCGTGTCTCCCCGAGTGCCAGAGGAGAAGCCGCTATCCCCAGTAGCTAAACAGAAAGAGAAGCAAGTGGAAAACGAACTGTTGGCTCAGCAGAGCGAGATCAGCGCGGAGCTTCAGGCAGTAAGACGGCAATTGAATGACTTCCAGGACAAGTGGAAGAAAAGCGTGGAAGCTAAAGCAGGAGAGAGCTCGGAAGCATCGACCGTGCAGAGTTCGTGGCCCTCTCCTATTTCTGTACGGCATGTACGTACGGGTTTCCAGGAGACTGCTGTTCAGACTGAAAATGATGAGAGAGAACACGCAGTGACTCAATGGCTATTGCTTCTCACGCAAAAATTGGAGACATTAACAAGGAAATACTCTCACGAACCCACGCAGAGTTTCCAGGCGTCAATGACATACCTAGCGAGAGTTTGGGGCCCGAATAATGATAGTAATGGGTTATTGAAGGAGACAAAAGAAACTAACAACGGCAGCGGTGAGGCAGATGAGGGACCAGCGCTCTCGTCGTGGCATGTAGGCCGTGATCTGAAAGCTGCAGTCCCTTTAGAAGTGGCAGAACAATTTTTGGAACTAGAACATTCCATTGCGTCCTTGAACACAGCAGTGGAGCAGCATGAACGCAGACAGATGACCAACTTCGATCGTGCGATACAACAAGTGCAAGGATTCCACCAAGAGCGGATCCAAAAAGTGGTTGATGAGTCTCTTGCGGAGCTGAAACTTGTTCGTGGTAGATACAAGAAGAAGGAAGCTCAGCTTGAAGACGAGCTACGTGCTGCCAATAAAGAAATCGAGCAGTGGAAACTGACAGCAGCAGAAGCCGAACACCGAAAAAAATTAGATCGCGAATCGTTGGAGTTCCAGCTTACAGCAGCAAAAGAACAGGTACAGTAACGTGTCTGAGTTCATAGTAGATCTTTGATACTGACGCTGGTAATTCTGTATATGTGGCAATGCAGCACGATCATATCTGCCGTCGCTACGAGGGAGATATAGTGCGCCTGAAAACTCAACTCGAAGTAGTGCGAGCTGAGCGGAAACAGGTTCTAAGTCAGCACAGAGACACCCATGAGGTCATAGCACAGGCGAAGGAAGGGGCAGTAGCACTGGAGAGACAATGCCAAGCACTGAAAAAACAACAAGAGCGTGCGAAGGAGCTTCACGACAGAGAAATACGCGTGCTTCAGGACTCTGTCCGACAGCTCCGAGAAGGTAAAGACGATATGGAACTTCGACATGCCAAGGAAAAACAAGCGTTGATCGAGACAATTCAAAAACTGGAGGCAAAGCAAACCGATACACAGGAAGCGCGAATACGAGGTGAAATCGAGCAACAGATAATACCGGAAAGACTGGCGAGTCTGGAGAATCAACATCAAGAAACTGTTAGCGCAATGGAGAGTGAACACAAGCGCCAGCTTGCAGAGTTAGCAGCAAGACTGGACGAGACCAAGAGATCAGCTCCTTCAACTGTCCGCTCAATCGAGACGCAAACAGATTCACTCCCAGTTGAAAAGAGCACTCGGAAAAATTACAAAGTGGAAGCTAGCGACGCACAAGCGCAAATTGAAGGACTAACTCGACGTTGTCAGGCTCTGGAGAAGCTTCTTGACAAGAAGTTTGAAGAGACCTCATACTCCAGCCAGAGATGTGAATCCTGCCATTCTGATGACGGCATTTC